GTGTTCGGCCCGAACGGCCGAACGCATCCCCAAGGGGTCCCATACGTTCGGGCGTTCGGCCCGTCCCGAACGCCGGTTATATATATATAGTCAAACAGAGCTGCCCGGTAAACCGTAGGCAGAGAGGGAGAAGAGGACAACAAACGACGGGTTGTGGCAAACTGTTTCGTCGGGGTTATATATAGGGTCACCGGCCCGTACGTACGGAGGTCTCTGGGCAGACCTCCGTACGTACGGGCGTTCGGGGTCCCGTACAGGGTCCGAACCCGACAGCGTTTGGCCCCCACCAAATATTATTTCAGGGCCTAAAAATATATTTTTTTTTTCTGAATTTTTTTTTTGTAAGTTCTTTATGACATGGGGTACATGCCTATAAATTTTCAAGTCATTTGGCTCAGCCAAATAAGAATTAAAAATCACGAACGATGGCGGTGTCAAAATGTGCTCGCCCACGTTTTTTTTCACTTTGTTCTTTTTGTTTTCACTTTAGTTCGGGGTCTAAACAATTCTCTTATTTTTTGAAACTTTTTTAGTGGGTTTTGCATTATGTGAAATACACATCTGTAAATTTTCAGGGCATTGAGTTATGCCAAGAAAAAATGAAAAATCGCCAAAGATGGCGGTGTTGAAAACGTGCCCGCACACTCACTGAATTTAATTCTTTTATTTTTATTTTTATTTTTATTATTAGTATTTGTTTTTCGTATTTTTTTATTTGTATTTCACCGAGCCCATGGAGTCACTCAGGCAACCATTGGTGTCTGGCCTTCCACCGAGCCCAGGCCTGCCCCTTTCTGAAAAAAAAAAAGGGCTACAGTCTGGAGATATATCCACAGGTGACTGGCCCCAGGTAATTCCAGATCATTATTATTGATATTATTGTAGATGATATGTCATGATTACTGTTTACTGAACTCCATGGGCCCTGAGCGTATCGTGTAACTTGAGGGTCTCAACCCTTATAGGCATCGTAACCAAGCCATGGATGTCAGCTGAGATGATTACAGACTAGAATTCAACCACATAATTCTTTCTTGGGTATGTCACAACCGGCCACCTGGTGGGACCTGAGCAGGCCTTTTCCACCACATCCTAGGCACCACACCTGGTGACATGGGCCATTTTCCATATCTCTCTAACCAGACCTCATGCTCCCATATAGCTACGGGTTACAGGGTGGCACAACTCACCCCACCAAACCGACCAGCGCCGTTCTGGTCTCGGCCAACCTTGCGCCACTGATGGCAGCGGGTTCTGAACCCACCCAGTGCCGCTCAGGCATGAAACCTACTGAGCTAGCCTATGGGACTGCATTCTTGGATTCCGATTTATCCTGATAAGGGCAAACCACAGTCTCTCGGGCTTACTTTGAGTAAAGGGAGGGTTAGTCGAAACTTAGTCCACATGAGAAATTGAAGAGGATGTCTGGGGGAAGCCGAGACAAATAAATGCGACCACGGGTCGCTTGCTCCGCTCAGCATTCTGTGGCTTCCGGAAGTTGATTAGGCAGTTGATGCTATGTTCTTGTTCATGTTGGGAGAAGACTGTGCACTTGTCTGTGTTGTTAGGGTCAGACGTCTTCCTTCTTTGATCTGCCAACTTGAGAGGGTTCATATAGACAAAAAGGTAGTTTCTACCAAGGGCTTTAGAGGGATAAAAAAAACAGCAGAACACCTTGTTTTGGGGAATCAGAGATGGAGCATGGGGACAAGGAACAACAGCATCTACAGGGATAGGGATTTGAACATGGATACGGACATGGATATGGACACTTACCATCTTCTTCCATATGCTTTCTCCTATCTGGTCCTCTTCGGAGCCTGTGTCACCGGAAAAGAACATAACCCAGTACAAGAAAGGGAAGACAACACAGGGTTAATAGATTCTGCAGGGTCAATAGATACACTCCATGATAGTCCATGATTCACGACTTAGGGTTGGCTATACTCCTAGTGCGTAGCTTAGGGTTGGGGCTGGCATAGCAGTTCCTTAGTACGGGATGTTGGGGGTGTCAAGAGATACTGCACCTTACCGCGGGGCCGGAACGGACTCCAGGGACATACGAGGGAACGGAGGATCCCCAGCTCTCTCTACCATCAACACAATAGAACACTGTAGTAACACACGCATGACTCAGGGTTGGCTATCCTCCTAGTACGTAGCATACGGTTGAAGATGGCATAGCAGTTCCTTAGTACGGGATGTCGGGGTGTCAGGAGATACTGCACCTTACCGCGGGGCCAGAACGGGCTCCAGGGATATACGAGGATCCCCAGCTCTCTCTACGATCAACACAATAGAACACTGTATTAATACAACATAAGGGTAACTCAGGGTTGGCTATCCTCCTCGTACATAGCATAGGGTTGAGGCTGGCATAGCAGTTCCTTAGTATGGGATGTCGGGGGTGTCAGAAGATACTGCACCTTACCGTGGGGCCGGAACAGGCTCCAGGGACACACGAGGGAACGGAGGATTCCCAGCTCTCTATCATCACCACACAACTGTGCTAGATGGGAGCCACTGTGTACCCTCATAAAGACCTGCGTCTTCCCCCGAATATAACGCATATGCGTTGTAAACAAATACAACGCATACCGTGCGTTGTTTTGGTTTACAACGCATATGCGTTATGTTAGAGTGAACGAGACCAACTTTGCCTGCACAAGGGGGTCGGGTCCAGGCTGAGTAGGCTCAGTTCTTGACCACGGCTGGGGGCCTCAGACCCTTGGCAAAAAGGTAAAAGTAAAGTAGTGACATACCTTTCCTTGTTCTGGGTTGAGTTTCATTCCTTTCCCCTACTTGGGCCCTTGCTCCACTCCTCAGCAAATGTGCAAAATGTGAATGAATCTTCCGCTAGAACGTGGACAAATACAACCCTTTTCTTTTTTGTCTTGGTGACCACCGTAGTGCAGCGAGATCTTGGTGAGTGGCTTTCTTATTTTTCCACTTTCTTGACCGCGCCACTTTCTTGGCTGTCAGAAGCCCTTCGCGCACAGGGAGAGAGAGAGAGAGAGAGAGAGAGAGAGAGAGAGAGAGGGAGGGTAGTTCTTGCCGACAGCACAGGGGGAAGAGAGAGAGAGAGAGAGAGAGAGAGAGAGAGAGAGAGAGAGAGAGAGAGCCCTGCAGCGCGTGTCAGTGACCTGGAGGGCAGTTTCTTGCCCGAAGAAGAGCATACAGGGCACAGAATGAGAGAGAGAGAGAGAGAGAGAGAGAGAGAGAGAGAGAACAATTTTCTCTTCATGAAATTCAAATATAACACATATGAGTTATATTCAAAGTGCCCTTGTATTTGAAGAAAAGGGTCTAACTTTCCGAAAACCGATTTTTTTGGAAAACTCGAATACAACGCATATGCTTTATGTTCAGGGGAAGATGGTAGCTCCCGAAGTCCCCGTGCAATCGGGCTTGCACGGCATCTGCTTCAACCAGGGATGAGCAGGGGGGCAGGTGTCTCTGCTTAGCCCAGTTGCCTGCAACCGCTGTCTGGTCAGGTCACCCAGCCAAGATGGTGATGGATGATGGTCTCGGGTGGTTAACACTAGGGTAGGACAGGGGGGGTGGGGGTGCGCCAGGGCAAAAAAGATGAGAGGAAGGTTGGATGTGGTCTTCAGAGGGGTTCAGCTGGACACCGAGTGGCCGAGTACTGTGGGTGACTGCCATTGGCCTAGTATCCCACCTCTACAACAACCTGGGCTTTTAAAAAGAAAAGAAAAGAAAAGGAAAAAAAAAAAGGAAGGCAAATGATAACTGACATCAGACTGTCTCAATTAAATGATTGTGACTATGCAACAGGTATACACCAAATTCACAAATGCTGCAAATAATGGTGTCGTCAAAAACCACCTCCAGTTCAGGTCCATGATGTTTTTCTTTTTTTTGAGGGAGATAGGTTTTACGGTCTGGGCCCCATGAGCAAAAGGCTGGACAAAAAAGTAGTTTGAGGAGGCCCCGTATGAGTAGCAAAGGTTGGGTTTCTGTTTTTTGTTTTTTGCTTTTTGTTTTTTGTCTGTTCTGTTTTTTTGTTTTTCTGCTTTTTAGTGGAAAATGTTGAGGTACGTTCCGCTGAAAAAATTACTGGGGAAAAGGGTTTGACTGGGTGGTTCTCCGTGGAACTGTACCGGCGGCGCGTATCGCCAACGGTAAATTCACGACTACCTGGCCGAGTTGATTTGGGAGTAGAAAGTAGCTCGGATAAAATGGTGATTCGGGAGTTCATTCTCCTCTTGGCCTGAGCAGCAGGACAGAAGGGCCGAGCGCCGTTAGTCTGTTTGACGGCGAGATCGGGTGTTTTTTGCTGTGATATGTAAAGTCCACGACACCTGGTTGGTTTTATCTATGCTAATGAGCTGCATGATCGACCTCGCAGTGTAGCTTGGGTAACGATCCAGCAGCGCCGTCGGTGTATCCGATGTGCATTCTTTCATTTCTTTTCTTTTTCCTTTTCCTTTTCCTTTTCTTTTCTTTTCTTTCTTCCTTCTTTCTTTCTTTCTTCTATGATGCTCAACCTTTGCTACTCCGACACGGGTCGAGCTCATTCTACGTTTGCGTTCAGCTCTGCTGTGAGTGGTGACCACGCCGCTTAGCTACAACGAAGGTTTGCCGGCCATCTGGGTCGTTTACCTTCCGGCTGATCCCCTGGTTAATAACGACGCCATCGGGGCGGATGAACGCAGTGGCAGGTGGCTATCGCTCTTCACGGAAGCGAGGATGCTGGTGCGCAGTGCTACGTCTGTCTCCCTTTGAAGATGTCTCCACTCCGACGCTGAGGGTTTCTCGTGGCAACAACAGCGCGGGTGACGCATGACGACGGAGCCGGTTGTTATTCCGCTGGGGGAAGCTGTAATTCCATGGTGAGCGCTGCGGTGTTGTGGCAAGATTACATTGCGTATTGATGCAAATGGGCATGCGTGACAAGATTACATTGCGTATTGATACAAATGGGCACGCGTGACAAGAATATATTCCGTATTGATGCAATTGGGCACGCGTGTCAAGATTACATTGCGCGCGGGACGGGCTTCGTCTATCCGCAGCATGAGGATATAGACTGCTGGTGGTATCCTCTAATGGTTGCTTTCGGGGGGATATTGATGCAGTATTGACGGGTTAGTGGTGTCTGGGAAGTATCTTATTTGATTCGCTGTACCTGGGATTTCGTGACGATCGTAGTTAGGAAACGGGGCTCGTGGTTGAGTGGGTGAGCCCGCGGGGAGGTGAGGTTTGCTTGCTGACCTGTCTCCGCTCTGGCCGTGCTTTGAGCGCGTGGGGTGTGGGTTCGTTTGCAGCTATCGGGTAGTGACGGGTTGATGTTCTCTGGTGATCAGTAGGGTTGAATCGGTGAATCTTGGATTTCGGGTTTTGTAGTTAGATATTGTGGCTCTTGTTTGAGCGAGTAAGCCTGCGGGGGGAGGGTAGATTGATTACTGGCCTGACCTGTCTCCATGACGATGTACTGCATCAAGACGCTGTCCGTGTTTAACTTTGGGCGTGGCACCAGATCGAGCGCTTTTGGTAGGTGCCGGACACGTTCCTAAGATTGAGCGTGGGGATGGTGCGCATGGGTACACATGGATAATGGGCAGCCTTCGCGCGACGGGTTGGTTCGTTTGCTGGTATCCACATCAGCAGGGCGAATCTTCTTGTGCTGCGTTCGGGAGGGACTTGTGCTACTAACGGGAGTGTTGTTTGGATGATGGGATTCTGGAGTTATGTTTTCCACATCAACAGGGGCTGTAGACTCGGGTGAATCCTCTTGTTGCTGCTTTCGGGGGGGACTATGGCTATGGGAAGTGCTAACGAGTGGTGTTTTGGATGTCGGGATTCTGTAGTTAGGAGGCTTGTGCCAATCTGAAGCGGTAAGGACCACGGGGCAGGTGACGTCGTACCGAGCCACTTCAGTCACGATATTGTCCGTGCCCAAAGCGTGGCGGCAGTTGGTTGCCTGCACGTGTGTGGTCATACGACGGGCATGATCGGGTTGGGGTCCGTGGACTGGTTTTAACAACGCCACGTGGAATTGGCTCTGCGGCATTTCCATAGGCCTGTTTCTGATCCGCAGTAATATTGTCTGTGGTTCAAGGGTTTTATCTGGGGTTGGATTGGAGTAATTTCTTCCTGAGATTATTTGGTAACTTTGCGTATGTACGCACGTGGCCGAGGCCGCGGGAGAGGCAGGTGGTCGAACTGCGGTCGGTACTGGATGGAGACGCCACCTCCTCCCCCTCCACCTGGCCAACCACCAATGGCTCCTACTCCCTATCTGCAACCAGGGAATCCGTTTCTCCCGCCTTTCGGAGCGGCGATGAATCCTTACGGATACTCTATTCCGCCTAGCTACGTGAATGCTCAGCCGGTGGCGCAGTGGCAGCTGGCTGGCTCATCTTCTGCACCGGCTCAAGCCAGGGGACAGTTCAACCAGGGTTATGGCAGGGGAGTGGGCGGTTTCCAACCACGCGCTTTCTTTACACGAGAACACGCGGACTTCATTGAGAAGCTGAAACTAAAGGACGCTGTTGAGGAAGCCCAAAAGAAGGATCTTGAAGAAATCACAAGACTGAAAGGGTTTGGGATGGGGTCAGAAAAGAAAAAGGAGCAGCCAAGAGAAAGTGAGAGGAGGGAAAAGAGTAGGAGGTCCGGGAAGGACATAGGGAAGAATAGAAGTGTTGAAGAAGGGAAAGAGGATGAATTGAAGAAATGGGTAGCTACGAACTTTGGGGGATCCTTGAAGATACTATCGGAGAAATTGGAAGAAGTTGACAAAAAGTCGAAACTGAAGGAGGACGAGTTGGAGGAAGTGAGGATGCTACGAGCAGAGAAAGAACCGAGGGACTTAAGAGAGAATTCTAGTTCGGAGAAGAGGAAGCGGGAAATTTCCTCACCAGCACGACCCTTGAAAGGGAAGAGTAGATCCCGGTTTGTGCTCTTGAGGAGGAAGGGAAAGGAGAAGGAGAAGTCACCGAAGCCAGTAGAAGTGTCATCGGATGAAGATAGGAGCAGGAATGGAAGAGATGCAGTGGTGCAAAACCTGAGCGGGAAGTTGGAGAGGTCAAGCGGGGGATCCAAGGATATGGCTGAACTGAAAAGTTTGTTATTTGAGCTGCTGGCTGAAAAAGGACGTGACGCGAGCAGTAGTAATGCGGCTGAGGGACAGACTGGGAAACCCGAGACAGAAGAGCTAGGGCGCAGGCAACAAGAAGGAGACGCAGTGGAACCCCCTAAGAAGGTTGAGGGGATTGGTAAAAATATCGAAGGTGAGCAAGAGGAAGGCTCGCTGGGGCTCTATTTTAAAGACAGGGTTATTTATTACGATGCCATGCATTACACAAAGATACAGGCTCTACGTAAGAAAAAGGGAATCCCTTACAAACGGAAAGAAGGGGGTGTTTGGGAGCTGGCAAGACTGGACTTTGAAGTTTTGCTGAAATTGGGTAAGGAGGAGGAGATAGAGGACGAGAAAGAAGAAGGAAAGAAAAGCGATGAGGAGGAGAGTGCCGACACCTGTAGTTCGGAGTCGGAAGAGGAGTCGCAAGGGGATGATCTCGCGGGAAACTGAGTTTGGCCAGCAAGAGGTCCTTATTGAGGGTCTGCAGGAGACTAGTTGAGATGCAGAAGTTACATCATGAGGCTATCGGGAAGGAAGTCCATAAGCTGTTGCAACTGATCGTGTTAGCAATGTGTCTCCGGGGAGACATCCGATGGGGGAAAGCCTATATTAAATTTTGGACAAATCTGAGCGGCGATGAGAGGGAGAAATTACTAATTGGGAATAATTGTGTGTATATCCTAATTTCTCCTTTCTTTAAGCACACCTATGTGGGGAAAACTGAACGGGATTTGCAGACACGATGGCGGGAACATGTAAGGATGGCTGGCACCAAACCAAAGCAGAAGTTACATCGTTGGTTGGGGAAAGTTGGGGCTGAAAACTATGTAGCTTTGTCGATTTGGTTTGGGAATAAGAATGCACTAGGTGACATGGAAGACTTTGTCATCCGGAATTTGAACCCGGGCTTAAACATGAGAAAAAACAAGAACAAACCCTCCAGGAGAAAACCCAGGAAACAGCGGAGGAACAGAAAGAGTTTCGTAGCCTGCAAAAATGTCATTTTGTTTCATTGTGAGCAGCTTAATGTCAAAGGGGAACCAAGTCTTCTAAAGATACTCAAGAAGTTGGGAAGCGTAAAAAGGCCCAGACTCTCGAATTGCAAAGGGGATCATTGGCTTAAGCCATGGGGATTAGTGCGACTAATATATCGGTTTAGTGTTGTTGACATTTCAGGGAAGAAATTTATGTTAAAAGATGTGAAGTCGTTAATTCAAATGGGGGGAGAATGGACTATAACCAAATTAGTAAAACCAAAGAACAAATCGGAAATCGCCAAGGCTGATGTGATCACTATCCTAAGAGCTCCTTGGAAGAGGAAGGCTTTGTATAAAAAGAAATTAGAGGAATTAATAGAATTGAATGCGGGAATTAAACTGTTAAATACGGCGAGAGTGAGGCAAATTACGAGGGGTATTATCACGAGGGTGACTAAAAAAGTGTATGGGATTAATCCAAGGCACCGTATTGTGGTAAAACTGCCCTTTTGTGACGCAATTAGCAAGAAAAAGGTGCATGCTTGTGTGAAGGAAGAGTTGAAAGGGAGGATCTCCCCAGCTTGCCTATCAGACTTGCCGATTGGTAGGATGAGAACCATTTGGCAGAAGAGGAAGTCTGTCGGCGACATCCTGCACAATCATCAGCGCTTTGCAAGAATTAGCGGGTGGCCCTTCACTTGCAAAGCTTTTGACATGCCAAAACATAACGGGCATGTTCGAGTCCGATTGGATGAGATTGAGGGGATACGGGACTTTGTGTTGAATGCGAAAAATATACCATATCCTGGCAGTTTATTGTCAGCCAGGGAAGTAAATCAAGCATGCAACCTCGCGATGGAGCCTCTAAAGAAGATGGGGTGTGTAAATCAAACAGAAGAAATTCATGTAAATTGGAAAAACATTTGTGTGAAAGGAACTGCACATCTGGTGGGGTGTGACACTGAGTATGTCATTGGATTGGAACAAGCTCTAAGAGGATTGGTTCTCTCACCACTGGATAGAAATCCCGGGGCAACCCTGGTAGAGTGTCCCGTTGTGTATGAAGAAGGCATGAAGTCAATGTATAATGACAATGCAAATTACAAGAAGATGGAAAGAATGGAAGCAAGAAATCAATATCTGGGACTAAAGCTTGGAAAAATTGCAAAGTGGGATAACAAAGGAAGACTACAACAAGCGTACATCATATCGAAGGATAAGGATGTAAACAAGAAACGGCCTATAGTACCCTCCTTCTTGAATCCGGCACGGGAGGCCATGGGGCTACTGGCTCAGAGTTTGAATTTCCTTATAAAAAGACTAAGGATAAGGCACTTCAATCTCAGCGGTGCGAAGCATCTGCAGGAGAGGATAAGAGGGGCTAATGAGTTGGCCTATCAGGCGTTTGGCTTGGATGCCAGATTTGTCATAAGGACTTACGACGTCAAAGAAATGTTTACGAGACTGCCACATGATGAGATTTTGAAAGCAGTTGATTGGTTGATGGGTTTTTTCAGAGACAAAGGGCATTCGTGGATTCGGATCAAGAAAAAAGGAAAAAAGGCCACGTTTGGAAAATCCCACGGGGAGGCAGGGTGGAAATCGCTGCGACTATCGGATCTAATGAAACTAACTAAGTTTCAGTTGGAGAACACCGTCTTCTACTCGATGGCGGAAATCCTAAGGCAAGATATTGGCATTCCGATGGGTGGGAGAGCTAGCCCACCGCTAGCCAATGTGTTGTGCATATATGCTGAACAGCAGTTTGTCGGGAGCTTGGGTAAGGATGCCAGGTATATCGACGGAAACCGGTTTATCGACGACCTACTGTTAATTGGCTGTTACAATGTGACCGAGAGGAATGGGCCGAAACATATTGAGCAGATCATGGATAGGATCGGGGGGTGCTACCACCAGGATCTGGTATTGGAAAGAACAGACCCAGGAAATGGTATTGTGGAATTTCTGGAAACAAGGTTGATTGTCACTGACACCCCGGCCTGGATTTATAGTTTCCACAAGTTCAAAAACCTGGCTACTATCTGGAAAGGAAGAGAGGGCCACTTCAGAACTTTAAGGAGTTTTGATTCTTACGCTCCGTTGATCCAGAAGTACGGGACGATTTCAAGTGCCATTTGCCGGATTTTCGACAATACGAACACCAAATTTTCGCTATGGTGGAGCTTGGTAACTTTTTCGAAGGAAATGAAGGTGATTGGTTACCCGGTTGAGTTGTTCGAAACTGGCTTGAAGAAGATGTCCAAGAAAAAGGACGGTCGGCTCTCCAGTGGTACGATCCAAATGTTACTAAATTTGGAGTGAGGTTTGAACTGCTGGGAGTGCGGGAGGGTTTTTTTTTGAGGGAGATAGGTTTTACGGTCTGGGCACCATGAGCAAAAGGCTGGACAAAAAAGTAGTTTGAGGAGGCCCCGTATGAGTAGCAAAGGTTGGGTTTCTGTTTTTTGTTTTTTGTTTTTTGTTTTTTGTCTGTTCTGTTTTTTGTTTTTCTGCTTTTTAGTGGAAAATTTTGAGGTACGTTCCGCTGAAAAAATTACTGGGGAAAAGGGTTTGACTGGGTGGTACTCCGTGGAACCGTACCGGCGGCGCGTATCACCAATGGTAAATTCACGACTACCTGGCCGAGTTGATTTGGGAGTAGAAAGTAGCTCAGATAAAATGGTGATTCGGGAGTTCATTCTCCTCTTGGCCTGAGCAGCAGGACAGAAGGGCTGAGCGCCGTTAGTCTGTTTGACGGCGAGATCGGGTGTTTTTTGCTGTGATATGTAAAGTCCACGACACCTGGTTGGTTTTATCTATTTATCTATGCCCTGACTGCTATACTTATAGTCTTGAGGCGGCACAAACAAGTGAGAGTTGAAGCCTCTTTCTCCCACTGCTGATTTTTGCCGAACAAATACAAACCGTCGCAGCGTGCAATTTGCCTAGCTCCACCAGCCTTTTAGTGACAGGCGATCACAGCCTTTCTGTTCCCAGTATTAACTGGTGGGCGTTTTATTTCGGAGGCTGAGTCCGAAATCTGGTGGTGAAATTGAACCCTGTCCACAGTTGGGCCAAGCTCCTGACAATCTGGCACAGCTGTAGTCAAGGGACTTGCCTGTTAGAGCTCTGCATTGAAACTTCACTCTACAGAGTCTACACTAACATGAACCTAGAAGGCATCTGAACATCACTCTTTTACAAATTTAATATATGCTCCAGAAAACAGGAAAGTGCATCCTAAAAAGGTAGGTTCGCATGATTTGTTTTCTGTTTGGTTCTGCCCAAATAATGCTGGACTTCTTTTAGGCAAGCTAGCTCTCAAGTGATGCTTCGAAAAATAGGCAGAGCCAGCACAGTAATTTGGGTTGACTTTCAGGGGTGCTGAACCCGGTTTGCAGTAGGTGCTGGGCTTGCCTCTGGAATTCGCCTGGTTTTTCGAGGCGTGATTTGGACGCCATAAGGATCTGGAATCTGGTTATCAGCAGGTCCTGTCCCCATTGTAGATAAGGCCTTCGGAAATTTCAAAGGGGCGCCAACCGTTTGATTGTTGGATGCTCTCTAAGCGATGCTGGACCAGGTTTTCACCATCTAGTCTGGACTTCCCTGGAACGCTGGACCCTGTTTCCAGCAGGTCACGCTCCCGATGAATGGGTGTCAGCATTATTGAAAGAAAACGACAAAGACAAAAGGCTGGAAAGGTCAGGTCTAGCGGTGTAAGATCCTATTCAGCAAAATAGGCTAGGCCTAACTGGTGGTTTAACCACTGGCCACTGAGAATAGCTGAAAATATATACATCGGGCAGCTCTGTTTGACTATACCATAGGCAGAGAGGGAGAAGAGGACAACAAATGAGGGGCTGTGACAAACTGTTTCGTCGGAGTTTCACCGACTCATATATATACAGCCCCTCGTTTGTTGTCCTCTTCTCCCTCTCTCCCTACGGTTTACCGAGCAGCTCTATTTGACTATATATATATATATATATATATATATATATATATCGTCACAAACAGAACTTGTCCTCTTCTCCCTCTCTGCTTACGGTTTACCGGGCAGTTCTATTTGACGATATATACTACGACTTCGCTAGCTTCCTGCTACGGTTTTCTCCGGTCGGGTCGAGCGGCAGTGGTCGGGGCCGTCACTACGCGGCCATGCTGTGCCTCTAGTGCCAGCGGCGTGTCTGGAGTGTATTTTTTGGCTGTGACAGACCTTTCTTTGTTTCGTGGGTGTTTTGCTGGCTTGTGATGGGGTGTGAATGTCGGCCTCACACTCTGTGTGCCCAGGGCGCAACCACCCGGCCCTGGGCTCAACTGTACAGCGCAGCCCCTTTGTTTCTAGAAAAGAGCCTGGAGGCTCACGTTTCCCCGTAACCAACTGGCGTGCTGCAACAGGCTATGTACCAACATATGCAAAATGTCGTAAATAGGCCTCTTGTGGATATTCACGCCCGCCTTCACTTAGGGAGGGCACAATGCTTGCTGGGGCCCACAACCGAGTACACTTGCATGTTTGT